ATTGTGCGACAAAGAATTAAACATTTTAAGCAAACTAATTACTGTCATGTGTACACAAGTAGACGCAGCGAGATGATTAATAAAACTGCCATTTAAAATTCACAGTACACTACATATGCGTCTACTTTCTTTGCTAATACAAGTGACAGAATTTAGGGAGTTTGCTTGTTGCCTGTTTCCGACTGATACAAACATACATGCAATTATCCTCACAAAGAACGCGATGAAGCCGAATGTTCAGAAACAAACGGGGGATTTATTTATCTACTCACAGACCATTCAGACATACGTGTGCAGCTTAATAAACCTTTTCGGCTGGAATGATTTACAAGCAGCTCTAGTTCGTCAGTGTTGCATTCTAAAATCGCTATACTCTAGCTTGAGCGACCTAGAAACGATATCCAAGGGGCGTGTCTATATCGCTCCGACGGATGGGTCTATTATGAAGTAGTTTTAATTATTATAGGTTTCGTGCAGAACTCTTCTCCTCCATCTTCCGGAAGAGAATCACAGTTTAACGGCTCCGGCCATTCGAATCCGAACTGCTGCATGAGCGGCAAACAGCCATCTTTGGTCTGCTCACATACATGCCTACAAACATATAATGAAGTAATTAATTCTAAAAAATAATGGCGTGAATAAATTAATTGTTCTAATAAGTTTCTGAAATAGCTAGGCTGGGTTTCTATTCTAATCAAATTTAATCAAATCTATCTGATATATATATATATATATATATATATATACATAGGGTAGTTTCAATTAATCACTGTAAACAACTAATTACAACGGGTAATAGGATACAATATCAGATTGAATATAGTATGCCCAATATAGGACACAATATTTGATATAATATAGAACGCACAATATATCGTATAATATAGGATACAATATAGCCTGTATAAAACAGTATTAACAAACCGGTCGTTACCTGCATTGCCGGTAACGTACATTATCCGATTGAATATAGTATGCCCAATATAAGATACAATATTTGATATAATATAGAACGTACACTATATCGTATAATATAGGATACAATATAGCCTGCATAAAACAGTATTAACAAGCCGGTCGTTACCTGCATTGCCGGTAACGTACAATATCCGATTGAATATAGTATGCCCAATATAGGACACAATATTTGATATAATATAGGACGTACAATATAGGATACAATATGCATGTATTAAACAATATTAGTAAGTCGGTCGTTACCTGCACGGCCGCACGGTGTGGGCGTAGTTGCGTAGACACATCGGTACATACATACTACAGAAGAAGAACTTTATTAGAGAGAACTACAGAGGAAGACATACTACAGAGGAAAAACTTTATTAGGTAGGGGCTGCATTCGACTGCCAACAACGATAAAAACTGATGTACCTGCAAGCATGAAGAACTGAAGTCACTCGTAAATATCCTATATACACATAGACAGCAACAACAACGACATAATCGGCATAACCATTATTATTATTATTATTATTATTTTATTTTTATTTTTTATTATCATCATCATCATGATCATCATCATCATCATGATCATCATGATCATCATCATCATCATCATCATCATCATCATCATCATCATCATCATCGTCGTCGTCGCCGTCGTCAGCAGCAGCTGCATCATAAGTCCTGGGCGTAGGTAACTCAATACTACAATTTGCCGGGGGCGCCAAGCCGCGTGCGATTCATGTTGTTGGCAGCTGACCGTGAACAGTTTGTCAGCGACAGTCGAATGGTATCAGGGGTAGATATTCTCCGAGAGAAAGAGAGGGGGAGAGCGCGCGCGAGGAAGAGCGCGAGAGAGTAGTAGTAGTTGTAGTAGTAGTAGTAGTAGTAGTCGTGGTGGTGGTGGTGGCGGCGGCGGCGGCGGCGGCGGCTGCGGCGGCTGCGGCGGTAGCGGTAGTAATAGCAGTAGCAGCAGCAGCAGCAGCAGCAGCAGCAGCAGCAGCAGCAGTAGTAGCAGCAGTAGTAGCAGTGGCAGTGGCAGTAGCAGTACCAGTAGCAGCAGTAGCAGTAGCAGTAGCAGTAGCAGTAGCAGTAGCAGGAGCAGTTGAAGTAGCAGTAGCAGCAGCAGTAGCAGTAGCAGTAGCAGTACCAGTAGCAACAGTAGCAGTAGCAGTAGCAGGAGCAGTAGAAGTAGCAGTAGCAGTAGCAGTAGCAGTAGCAGTAGCAGTAGCAGTACCAGTAGCAACAGTAGCAGTAGCAGTAGCAGGAGCAGTAGAAGTAGCAGTAGCAGTAGCAGCAGTAGCAGTAGCAGCAGCAGTAGCCGCGGCAGTAGCAGTAGCAATAACAGTAGTCCCATCCCCCTCCCGCTAATTACGGTCATTTGATGCTTTGATGATTTGCTAATTACGGTCAATGAGTGTATTCAATCTACTGCGTGCGAAAGGTATACGCTTGCTCCGTACAGAGCCGGAGGCGGCCGCGCGCGTCAGGATTAAATTGAAACTGTTCGATTTCCTCTCTCGATGTTTTGCAGGACTGTAGTAACATATACTGACAGAACCGGCCTCGTTTCGTAATGCGCCCGTTGCAATGTTAATTAGTCGTTTGCTCTTGACTTGATTCCAGGTATTGGCAAGCGGGAACGGGGTTTGATTTTGTTTTGGATAAACATTCTAGTGGGTGGTTCATAATTGCTATAGCTCCGTTTCGTCAAATATATCTGCGTCCGCGTTTATTTCCAGTTAGACCAGTTTTCCAATTGCTTAGAGGGCAAGAACTACGTGCGTGTACGGCGCAGTGAGCGTGGGTTTACCTCACTGCCCTTAGATGTGTGATTATAACGAATAACATCCCAACTCGCACCCTTATTATTATTCCTACTATACATTACTATACATATACTACTACATAATGTTACTTGTGCTACATCTTGTACTCTTGCTCTTGTTATATGATTACAGGCACTTGGGTCGTTTTGAAAATAAAATGGTAATTAAATAGCCCCGTCTCCTGAAAGCTAGATCCGCCCCTGCATAAACATTCATACTTTAGTAGTTAATACGATTGGTGTTTATTTACAATCATTTTATTGAGTCGGCCCAAGTGCCTGTGGCTACGATGAACAGTGCAACCGCTAGGAGAAAATGAAGTTAAATGTCAGTCTTAAACAAGTCTAAATATAAGTGAAATATACCAATTTCAATACAAGGTTAGTTGAAGTTTATTCCAATTTTCAATTTGTACCATTTCACAAATATTACAAATTACAATGTCAATTTACAATTACAATGACAATGATGAAATCACAAATTTAATAACTTTTATTCAATTTTAATTTCCGTTTGTCGAATAGAAAAGACGAACGTTTGTGAGTTTGTTTCACGTATATAATAGCTAGACTACTTATTTGTACTGAACATTTTTTGTTTTCTAGTTCTATTCCAAATATTTGTCAATAACAGATTAATAATAAGATTTTATCGCTGTCAGTGATATATTATAGGCTCTTGGCTATAGCCGTAATGATTCACAAACAGACATAAAAATGAGAGCAATTATATATAAGTATTTGAAACTCATTTTGAATTTATGTACCTCTAGTCCCGCATCATCCTGTTTCCTGTGGTTTAGGAGGTTGGGCATATATGTGTCTGCGTGTACTCGATTCCACGACATAATGGAATTGTGATGTCCTCGCATTCTATCTCTGTCGTGGCCAGCGATGGTCGCACCGTGAAGCCGGCCAAAAGCAACAGCGCGAAGAGAATTTTTTCTGCTGACACTATATAAATACTGCAATTAATTGTTTACTGTTGACTTTGTAGATGTTTATTCGCTGCGCCTATAGTCCAGACATTTCGTGAAAAAAAAGGGGTCAACCTCGGACAAATTGCAACAGAAAGGCTGTCAACTGTTTTATGCCCAGAAATATGTCCTCTATAACATATCAAAACTCTTAAAGAATCCTGGTGGTGGATGGTTCCATAAAACTAATATTTCCCTATATCTCCGCTTCTAAATAACATAGAGCTTTGATTTTAAGTGCTAAACATACATTTTCAGGGACAAGGAATCCAATGAAACACATTTCAATAAGCAAAACCTGACAAAAATGTAGTAGCACTGCGATGGCTCAATGGTTGAGTGCTCGCCTCGTATGTGGAAGGTCGGGGGTTTAACTCCCGGCCGGGTCATACCAAAGACTTGAAAAATGGTCTAGTGTCTAATGAATAATGAACTAGCCGTCTTGTGACATTTGGGTCGTGACTCAACTTTTGTGTATTTGTAATAGTCTCTTATCAGTCACTTATCAGTGGTAGGAGCGGCCGTGGGCACGGTTTATAGCCTATACTGCCTATGTGTGTACATTGATATCAGCATCTGATATCTACATCTACCCATGCTGCGTTGTAGCGCCAGGCATGACATGACAGAAATTACGTTCGCGCGCCCCGGCCTGCCTGATACTGTATACCTCTCTTACGCTCTCTCTCTCTCTCTCTCTCTCTCTCTCTCTCTCTCTCTTTCTCTCTCGATCTCGATCTCTCAGTATATATCCATCCCTCACCCCTCCTTTCTCATTCTTTCCCTCTGTCTCATTCTCTCGCTGGCTTTCCTTATCTCTATATATTTCTCTATGCCACTCCGGCTCTAGCTATTGTTCAAGTTCTCTCCCTCCCCTTCTCTTATTCTCTCGCGCTTGCGCCCTATCTCACGCGCGCTCTCGCTCCTTCTCTCTCCTATCCTCTCGCTTTCTCTCTCTCACCCACCCTGTCTCTCTCTTTCTCCCACCCTCTCTCTCTTTCTCTTCCAGCGCTCTCCTCTTTCGCTCTCTCTCTCTCTCTCTCTCTCTCTATATATATATATATATATATAATTTATATATTATATATTATATATACATATACATATATATATATATATATATATATATATGCATACATCTATGTGTCTCGTACGTGTCTTGATATAAAAGACTTTGAACCCACGTACGCTGCTTATGCTTAAGTCAACAGACGCCAGCCTACTTTATAGGAGGGCGTTGTGCTACGTCGACGTCTTTCGTTCTTGCGCCATGCACGTGCGCACATCGCGTTGCCACGAGGGGAAATTCCCTAAGGCAAAACTGTAAGTAGACCGCGCATCTATGTTTAATATGCAAGCATTAATACGAGTATGGGGTGATATGTGATGTTACTGTTGCTAATGTTGCTGTTGTTTAAGGGCACGTCGGGTCGGTATTCTAGAATACGCCGTATTTGCGAATTTTACCATCGAGCACCTCCTTCCACCACCTTGAAATTCCTCGCTCTTGTAGTTACTCTCAATTCCTTCACGTGTGGACATTCGTATGCAATTCTGTCTCTTGTTCCAATTGCAGCACCTCGCATGATCGCATCACTATTGCTAAAAGCGGGCTTTGTTTCGCCTGCTATGCGGCCAACCCCGTGGCAAGAGTATATACGAGGTGGGGAAAAGACACTGGTGCCTCGTCGGACAAGATGAACTGGTCAAGTTAAGCCTCGGGTCGATAGAGCAAGTCACAAATGTATGCACGTGCGTTCGCTTGCCCTGGAAGTTTGCCGTGGCGATTGCCCTACTCATGGCAGAAATATAACTAAACTGGTTTTCAAGATGAGATGGATATGGACGACCAGCATGCAATAGATGAGGAGCAGAAGGGGCCAAGGCCAGAAGAAAAATGGAAGCGAGCAGAGATAAAAAGTAACCAAGGGGAGGACAGAGGCAAGACCGAAAGAACGAACGAACGGACTGAGGCAAGACAGAAAAGAAAGGGGAGTGGAGCAGCCGGATGCAAGACAGAATGGAAAAAAGCACGGCAAGAAAGACCAACGAATGTGCATGTCGTGAAAAGAGGCAATTTGCTGTATTGTTAAAACAAGTAATTCCTTTACTCTCCACCACTGCTGTAAGCTACAGATAGATAAGACCAGCATGTATCTAAGCACATTACAGGTTTCGAAAATAATAATACCGTAATGGTAATCGAATCGGTTGGTTGGTCATCAATCGAATGGTCATGGAATCGATCAGTTGCTCCAGCTGCATGGTTTACCTAGCTGCATGGTTTACCTAGCTGCATGGTTTTCCCGAAATAGGAATTCCCAGCGTGACATCTACCGATATTGGTAGAACTGATTGTGTCCTTTGTATGATTGAATTGTGCTTATTGAAAACATCCTTCGCCCACATCATAATTCAAATTGAATTGAATTCAACCTTATTCCATGCAAACAACATTTGCTTTCTAATCTAACAATTTTAAATTTATCTTCTTTTATTTCCATTACATTAGATAGAGCTTGGCATAATATCTTTACGATTTCTTATTTTATTGAACATGCCATCTGTTGATTTCTTTTACTCTGAGCGCAGCGCATGCTTATAGGAACAGTATGGCGGATGTAATAACGGGGGCTGGTGTGCTAGCTGCATGGTCTTCCCGAAATAGGAATTCCCAGCGTCACATCTACCGATATTGGTAGAACTGATTATGTCCTTTGTATGATTGAATGGTGCCCTTTAGAAACATCCTTCGCCCACATAATTCATATTAAATTGAATTCAACCTTATTCCATGCAAACAACTTACTAATCTAACAATTTTAAATTAATCTTCCTTAATTTCCATTACATTAGATAGAGCTTGACATAAAATGTTCACAATTTCTTCCGTCATTGAACATATGCCATCTGTTGATTTCTTTTAGTCTGAGCGCAGCGCATGCTTAGGAACAACATGGCGGATGTAATAACGGGGGCTGGTGTGCTAGCTGCATGGTCTTCCCGAAATAGGAATTCCCAGCGTGCCATCTACCGATATTGGTAGAACTGATTGTGTCCTTTGTATGATTGAATGGTTCCCATTAGAAACATCCCTCGCCCACATAGTTCACATTAAATTGAATGCAACATTATTCTATGCAAAAAACATTTGATTTCTAATCTAACAATTTTAAAGTAATTTTCCTTAATTTCCATTACATTAGATAGAGCTTGACATAAAACGTTCACAATTTCTTCCGTCATTGAACATATGCCATCTGTTGAATTCTTTTAGTCTCAGCGCAGCGCATGCTTAGGAACAACATGGCGGATGTAATAACGGGGGCTGGTGTGCTAGCTGCATGGTCTTCCCGAAATACGAATTCCCAGCGTGCCATCTACCGATATTGGTAGAACTGATTGTGTCCTTTGTATGATTGAATGGTTCCCATTAGAAACTTGATGCTTTGATGATTTGCTAATTACGGTCAATGAATGGATTCAAACTACTGCGTGCGAAAGCTATACGCTTGCTCCGTACAGAGCCGGAGGCGGCCGCGCGCGTAAGGATTAAATTGAAACTGTTCGATTTCTTCTCTCGATGTTTTGCAGGACTGTAGTAACATATATTGACAGAACCGGCCTCGTTTCGTAATGCGCCTGTTGTAATGTTAATTAGTCGTTTGCTCTTGACTTGATTCTAGGTATTGGCAAGCGGGAACGGGGTTTGATTTTGTTTTGGATGAACATTCTAGTGGGTGGTTCATAATTGCTATAGCTCCGTTTCGTCAAATATATCTGCGTCCGCGTTTATTTCTAGTTAGACCAGTTTTCCAATTGCTTGGAGGGCAAGAACTACGTACGTGCACGGCGCAGTGATCGTGGGTTTACATCACTGCGCTTAGATGTGTGATTATAACGAATAACATCTCAACTCGCACCCTTATTATTATTCCTACTATACATTACTATACATATACTACTACATAATGTTACTTGTGCTACATCTTGTACTCTTGCCCTGCTATATGATTACAGACACTTGGGTCGTTTTGAAAATATAATGGTAAATAAATACGAGTCGCATTTACTACCAAACTATATCTATCTACACTGTTTCGCCTATTATTAGTAATAATTCCTCGTAAATGCCGTTCAAATGGTCCTCTAGCTGCTACATATAACCTCTTCGCGCGCAGACAATTATGCACAAATTAACTTACAAAAAGATAGAGAAAACTCTACCTCTCTGTGAGTTTGCGCACAGTGGTGTGCCTTCGATGAGACTGCATCGATGCGATCCCTATGTGTTACAGGGGAGTGTTTGAACGGCAATTACGTGAAATTATTAGTCGATAACAGTGGCGGATCTAGAGGGGATTGATTGCAACCACCCCCCTCCGTTCAGCCACTAACTAATTGTGGCCAAAAATAAAAAAAGTCAGTCGGCAGGCTGATAGAATTCCCCTGTGATTACACAGCTGCCGGAATTTTCCAGGTGGGAGGGGGGCATGCCCCCGGACCACCCTAGCATAGGGTGCCTTCGGCACGCCTTCACTCAAGTATCCCTATGCCCTTCAGGTTAAAATGACGTAATATCCCACGCGCGACACAAGCGCCGATCAACGGCGAGTTACCATTTGCAGATTGCTAGGTGATGGAGAACAACACTCGTGTAGAGGGTGTTCATCGAAAATAGTGGCGCTTTAGTGTAAAAAGGAAGTGTGATTAATTGTAAATCGCGACTTTATCACATTTCTGCTCATGGACTTGTTGCTATAGATGGATTAATAAGCGGTGCTTGGTGCTAACTGCATGCTTCGCCGAAATAGCGAATCCCAGCGGCCATCTTACAGATATGGTAGATCATCTGATTGTGGCTTTGTATGCATTGAAGTGGTTCCCATTAGAACTGCGCCTCGCTTCCACGATTATTCAACATAAATTGAATGCCACATTATTCTATTGCAAAAAAACATATTAATTTCTAATCTAATCAAATTTTCAAACTTAATACTTCCTGTAATTCCAGTTACATTAGATAGAAGCTTATGCATAATAACTTTACGATTTCTTTTTTGTTGAATCATCATCTGTTGATTCTTTTAGTCTGCAGCGCAGCGCATGTCTTAAGGAAGCAACATGGCGGATTAACTGAACGTGGGCTGGTGTGCTTAGCTGCATCGTCTTCGTCCCGAAATTACGAATTCCAGCGTGCCATCTACAGATTATTGTACTACTGATTGTGTCGCTTGTATTATTGATGGTTCGCATAATAAACATCCTCGCCCACATTATATGCACTTAATGAATGGCAACATTATTCTATTGCAAAAAACATTGATTTCTAATCTATACAATTCAAAATTAATTTTCCATTAATTTCCAATTAGCATAGAATGAGCTTAGCATAATAGCTTACGAATTTGCTTCTTTTATTGACATGCCATTCTGTTGATTTGTTTTAGCTCTGCAGTGCAGCTGCATGCTTAGGAACAGCATGGCGATTTAATAACGTGGGGCAGGTTGCTAGCGCACTGGTCTTCCCGAAATTACGGAATTCCGTCCTAGCGTAACATCTACCGATTATTGGTAGACCTGATTGTGCCTTTTATATTGAATGTTGGCCTTGCTTTAGAAACATCCTTCGCCCAATAATTCCAAATTGAATTGAATTCAACCTTATTCGCATGCATAACAAGCGTTGGCTTCTAAATCTAACATTTAAATTAATCTTTCCTTCAATTTTGCCATTAGCATTAGATAGAGCTTGAATGTTAATAATTTTACAAATTTCTTCCGGTCATGTAACAATGGCCATCTGCTTGATTGCTTTCTAGTCTGAGCGCAGCGCATGCTTTAAGATCAACATGGCGGAGGTAATTTAACGGGGGCTGGTGGTGCTAGCTTGCAATGGTCTTCCCGAAATACGAATTCCCACGTTCCATCTACCGATATTGTAGAAAATTGTGATCCTTGTATGATTGAATGTTCCTCACTTAGAAACATTCCTACGCCCGACATAGTTCACATTAAATTGAATGCAACATTATTCTATGCAAAAAACATTTGATTTCTAATCTAACAATTTCAAATTAATCTTCCTTAATTTCCATTACATTAGATAGAGCTTGAATAACATTTTTCAGCCATATTTCTTTCCATATGAACATATGGCCATCGTGTGATTTCATGTTAGTCATAGCGCTAAGCGCATGCTTTACTAGGAACAGCATGCGAATGTAATAACGGGCTCGGTGTGCTTACGGCTGCTGGTCTTCCCAAAATAGGATTTCTCAGTCGTGACGTTACCGATATTGGTAGAACTGGTTGTGTCCAGTTGTTTATTGGTTGAATGAGTGGCCTCATATATAAAGCATCCTGTCGCCACATGTTGCAAACTAAATGTAAGCAACTTATTCTATGGCAAAATACATTTGATTTCTAATCCCCTATCACAATTTTAAATAATCTCCTTAAATTTCTCCACTACATTAATAGAGCTTGGCAGCAATATCATTAAGCTTAACCGATTCTTCTTTATTTGAACATGCCACCGTCTGAGTGTTTTCTTTAGCGTCTGAGCGCGGCAGCGCATGCTTAGATACGCATGGCGGCGATTGTAATGAACGTGGGGCCGGTTGTCTAGCTGTCGATTGTCTTTCCCGAAATAGAAATTGGGCGCTTAGCCGTGATGTCTACCTATAGGTAGAACTGATTGAGGTCCTTTGTATGATTAAATTGTTGCCTGTTTAGAAACATCCTTCGCCGACATAGTTCATATTAAATTGAATTGCAACGCTTAATGCGCATGCTCAAACAACTTTCTAATCTAACAATTAAATTAGCACTTCCTTTAATTTCATACATTAGATAGACTTTGACATATACATTCTTCAGCAATTATCTCCGCCCATATTGAATCACATGCCATCTGTTGATATTCTGTTAGTCAAGCGCAGCGCATGCTAGGTAACACATGGTCGGATGTATAACGGGCGTGGTGTGCTAGCTGCATGCCTGTCCCCGAAATCAGGGATTTCTCACGTGCATCTACCGATACTTGGTAGTTAACTTGATTGTTCTTGTATGATGTGAATGATTCCCATCTAGAAACATCTCGCCCACATAGTTCTACATTAAATGAATGCAACATTATTCTATTGCTAAAAAACCATTGATTCTAATTCCTTTACGAATTTCAAATAATCTTCCTTAAATTTCCATTACAGTTAGATAGAGACTGCCATAGATATCATTACCGATTTCTTATTTTATGAACATGCATCTGTTGATCTTTTAGTCTGACCGGCAGCGCATATGCTATAGGAACATAGGCGGCATGTAATAACGGGCTGGTTGGTCTAGCTGCCATGGTCCTTCCCGAAATAATGATTTCGACTAGCGTCAAATGCTACCGATATTGGTAGGAACTGATTGTGTCCTTTGTATGATTGAATGGTTCCCATTAGAAACACCCTCGCCCACATAAGTCAAATTCAATGAATGTAAAACCTTATTCCATGCAAAAAAAAGAACCATTGATTTCTAATTTATACCAATTTTAAACTATTTTCCCGTTAATTTCCCATACTAGATTAGAGCTGCAAAATTATCTTACGATTTGCTTTAATTTTATTGAACATGGTGCCATCTGTTGATTCTTTAGTCTGGAGCGCAGCGCATGCTATAGTTAACAGTATGGTGGATTTAATAAGCGGGCCTGGTTGCTAGCCTGCATGGTCTTCCGAAATACCGAAATTCTCGCAGCTTAACAACTACCTGATATTGGTAGAACTGATGTGGGT